ATTTACTATGTTTTTTCTCCCTCTCTCTCTCTCTCTCTCTCTCTCTCTCTCAAACTCTCTGTCTACCTACTTCCTCTTGCTCCTTTCTTCTTCTCTCGAGGTGGAACGAAGCCGTTCGATCGATCGGTGGGTTCCACCTACTCGCGTCACGCGTTACATTATACCGTATCGTATTGTGTACCGTGTTACCGCTTCATCGCTGCGGGTGTTGATAGTACAGGCTGGTCTTCTTGGTACCTAGACCAATTTTTTTTTTCTTTTTTTTAATGAAAACCCAAAAAAATTTTTACACAAAATCGGGTCTATGCCATGCCACGAGTATGTATATAGTGCTTTATTTTTATTTCAAAATTTGTCAATACCATTTTTTCGTACCTCTTGTAAGAGATCATCTGGTGTCTGGGTATGTCTAGCATCGTCAGGAACTGAACCAGGAGATAATTTGGGATCGGAATGAGATCTTAGCTGTGGCTCCCTTTGATAGCGTGTAATAAAAATAAATACGGTAATAGTAATCTCTTCGGGCCCGACCTCCACCATCATCCTGGATTAATTATCTAATGCCACGGTAACATCTGTCATCGTGGTCTACCGTTGTGGGCGCACCTTTATCCTGGATCGCCCTCATCTCCCGTCAGACCCACTGTTACCGTTTAAAAATATTATTTTCTATTGCGTAACCGCACGATTTTTGTTGCTGTTGAAAAAAATTTTTTATTAAATAAATTATTTTTATTCCATCACGCACCTCGCCCGTTTCAGGTAAAATAATTTATCTTATAAAACAGTCCAATCGTTCCCCGTGCTTAAGGACCACCAAGCGCGTTGTCAATCCTCTAGTACAATTAACCCACCACGTAAACGGACAACGTTAGATAAAGAAATTGGCAAAAGAGTCACGCGCATCCTGTGCCTCCACTTCGGTAGCTCTCTAAGGCATAGCTGGACGTCTCCGCCATTAGATTGACCGATCGCGAGAGCGCGCACGGAGGGAGAGGGCGTGAGGCGTGGAGTGAGAATAGCGAAAGAGGCAGGTAGAAGGTAGAGGAGGGAAGGAGAGGAGACATAGAGAGGAAAGCAAGAAAGGAAAAAGAGGTGTAGACATCATCGGCCTTTAAATCCCGTTAACTTTTGGTTTGGGCTCTTCGTGACGCGTGCTACGCCTGTTTATGCGCTGTACGCTGGTTAATGTACCACGCATTGACGTGGATATGGATACGGATGGAGTCAGCAAGTCAGTCAGTCAGGCATCTAGGCAGTCGTGGCAGCCCAGTCAGACGAGGCAGGTGCAGCGGCCCCGGCAGTGCCTAAGGCCTAAAAACAGCTGCCGCCCTGACTCCGTCCTGCTGCAGGCGCACGCGCCAACCGCACCCACATTTAACTTACCTTACCTTACCTACCCTCTACCTTGTGTTCCATGGGTTCCCTCTTAATCGCTGGGCAGATACCTCTAACGGTCAATGATCTCTGCCAGATGAGACCTGGCCACTCTGATACGAACATTTCGTCTCTTTTATCATCCACTTTATATCTACTGATCAGGACCTACGTGTCAGTTGGCTTCTTTTCACTCTACTTGCTTATACGTGCTGTATCGATGTATCACTATATTTTATTAATCAGTTCAACCTTTGGAATCGTTGATAGATACGTATCGATATGCTCGGATATACGAACTTCGTACAACCTCAGTTTTCTTAATGTTCATGGGGTCCGGTGCCATGGTGGGTCGTCCTTCTAGAACATTCCAGAAGAATATTCTTCGGGATTAGTCTAGGGGCTGTAGGCGTGCAATGCTCTCTTATTGGCTGAGCGACCGGGGAGACCCGCTCGAAATCTAAATGTAGGTACTTCACATCTTTTTGGTAAATCTCAATGGAGTCCGTTCTTGTGTCGAAGCACTTTTGAAAAATGAGCTCTGTGAATTTTAATGAATTTTTTTTTCCCCCTATTTTACACATAGCAAAAAGAGATAAGAGAAAAAGTTTCATATATTTAAGTTTGATAAAATAAAAAAAATATAATCGCACAGAGATTCACGTTGCGATACCCAATAATCATAATAATGATGAAATATCCGAATGAATCAAGAGACCAAGGATCATCCTCGTGTGGGTGATACGAAAGAAAAAAGATATAATAACAATAATAATAAAATGGTTACACCGACAGGAACTTGGTCCGGTAAGTCTAATCTTCTATCAGCACATGTTCTTATCTCGAGCGAGGCGGCTTGTCTGAAGAAACACCGATGACGCAAACTGTTCCTTGCTCTGGCAAGATCAGAGCTGACAAATTTTACTCGGTAAACGATATAAAATCTGATCGAAGGTATTGTATCAAAATTACTTGTTACGTAAAACTCGTAGGTGGGTCGGTGGTTGGGAGGGGGGGGGGGGGATAATTGTATCAAAAAAATTTCAAAAAATAATAAAAACCATTCGTCCACGTAGAGATGATCCCATTTGTAGCGCAAAGTGGTCACGGAGTAGGGGTACGTTTCTATGTGTAAGTAATGATAACACAGTTGTCGTTATCAAGAGCCGCTTCTTTTCTCCTCCAGCCCCACTTCCATCCTCACGGCAAAGGCACGAAGCCGTCAAACGAGAATACCGGCCTATTGGGTCGGTGGTTGGGAGGGGGGGGGGGGGGATAATTGTATCAAAAAAATTTCAAAAAATAATAAAAACCATTCGTCCACGTAGAGATGATCCCATTTGTAGCGCAAAGTGGTCACGGAGTAGGGGTACGTTTCTATGTGTAAGTAATGATAACACAGTTGTCGTTATCAAGAGCCGCTTCTTTTCTCCTCCAGCCCCACTTCCATCCTCACGGCAAAGGCACGAAGCCGTCAAACGAGAATACCGGCCTATAGGTATCAGCCATATCAGCAAGCTCCTGCTCATCGTGCGATTGCTCCTAGGCAGGGCTGCGCTCATTTGCTCTAGTAAATAAGCATATTTGGAATTTACGCGAATAATTGTATCATATACCGATTAAGTTCATTACGAAAGAATATATATGACAATGAGTGAAAATTTATATACGGGTCTCAATGATTATTACGTGACTGGATCGTTTTGAGAAAAAAGAGAATGTTGGATATACACACACACACATATATATATATATATATATATATATATATATAATAAAAAAAAATTAAAAAATATTGAAAACATTTTTTTTATCCATCAATAAAATTATCTTATCCAAAAGTAGTCTCGAGCCGTACTACAAGCGTGTTTCAAATGTTTCGAAAAGTCACGACGCGAATGGCTGTACAGACGTGTAAAGTATAAGGAGCGTCATTCGCGCACGTCTTCGGAAGATGATTCGAAGTTGACAGTCATCCTGTGAGAACATTGTTTTGCGTCCCTGCGCGTAAGCGGGCAGCTATATTTACATAACAATCGCGGATCACGTAACCGCCTTTGCGACGTGTCCCGATGTCCGTGTGTAGTCCGTCCATGGATTCTACGTAGCCGTTTCCTCACGGCGACTGCTCATCCGCAGTATGGAAAGTCGAGTAAACCTCCGAGCGCAGTTAGCTGCTTAAGGAATCCGAAAGGAAATCGGAACGCCCGTTGGAATTTGGTAAACGGAGAAATCGTTGTCGGAGCCGGATTGCTCGAGCGGCGTTAAAAGATACACGAGAATTTCGCAAAAGACAGTACCCACTGAAAAGCTATACGGAGAGTCAAAAAAAGAAACGGTCAAAGCCGAATACAGTAGATGAGTAAAGAGAAAGAAAAAAGAATAAAATAATCGTCCAACATGAAACATTGACCGTTACCCATAGCGTTGGCCTAACGAGCATCCGATATTCATCTGAAAGTGCGGTGAGGGGGGGTAAAGAAAATGGCGACGGAAAAGTCCATCGGTTAAAGTCGAGGAAATTGATTCCCGCGTACCATCAATGGCGCCAAACAAATGATCAGAGTGATTTTATGTTGTGGCCAGGATCGCGATGGCAACCAGGCTCGTAACCATGGAAACGCTACTGGCTCATTCGGGGGTTAATTCAGAAGCGGACGGAAGGACGGACGCCTCGGCTGAGTTCCTGCGCCCGAGATACGACGACAGAGCCCTGCAGGTGAAAGAGGTCGTAGGTCGGAGGGCGAGCGAGCGAGGAAGGAGTTGGACGGTAGCTGGGTTAGGGTTGACCAGGACTCGAGGGGCGTAAAGGGATGATAAGCACGCGTACGTAAAGAGGGGCGGGCGAGGCAGAGTGAATCGTAGGGAGAAAAAAAATAGCCGAGAGCATGAACTCACGGGGGCTGCCTCGTGTGTTTCTCTATGCGTTACCATGACGACGCTTCAGCATTCGTTATAGTAATGGGTTGTGGACTCTGAAAACGGGGCTTCTGGGTGTAGCTGGGTTTCGTGTCTCTCCCACGCCTGCCGGGGACACCTGCCTTAACGATTACCCTGCAAATAAAAAGTACAGCGATGGTGCACGGGATGGCCCTATTCCACGATATTACGCTACCAAACTTCTACCCCAGCCTTGTATTTCGTACTTCGACTGAAACGTCTCCCCTTGCTTCCCTAACTACCCAATTGCGATCGTCCACTGTCCTTACGGACTGTTCCGTTGGAACTGTTTTATTTTTAAACGCCGATCACGCGATTGGGAATACTTTTTTTAATGGAATCATTAATATTCTTGATATCATCGTGGCGAGTGTCGAAATCTGTCTTTTACTTTAGAAATATTACAACGCTGGTACTGTATGTCATTTTTACACGTCACACGTGACACGTCACTGGTGGGCTTAACTGGGTAATAATGATGGTACACCAAGTGCTGTGGGTACTCGCGCTAAAGTTACGAGAGGAAAAATCACTCTTGGTTTTATTATTTTTTCTTCGAGATTTCAAACTTGTCATCCGTCCACGAGTTCGACTCGTTCTTTCCCACACGTGGGATTGTTTGCAATGACCTATGACCCCATCCTGTGCGCACGTCGCATCATCATCGTTGCATTCACGCAAACAAGCTGTCTGCGGCAGCTGAGAGGCTAAGAGGGGAGCCCATGCTCTTCCTCTGCCCTCTTCCTCATGAATCCACATGAATATGGATCGAAGATCGATGCCGATCGCTCATTGATCTTTAGGTCATCCGGCTTGCTTCGGTGCTGCCCCGTTATGGTTTTATCATTCCTCTTAAATTTTTATTGAATGAATTTTTGTAAAATTACAAAAATTTTTTTTATATACTACATTTATTTAGATCGTCACTTTAATGATCTATAAATCGTGTCTTTTTTTACTTTGACCAACTGTATTTATTTTTTTTCAAATTACACTCTTACGATTATCTATCTCTAAGATTAGAACCGATCGGGTTCGATGTCTTTTTTTCGATTTTACGTATTTTCATAGCAGGGAAGGGAGGGGATGAAACAATGAATATATATAAAATATATATATATATATATATTATAACTATATATACTTACGAGGACAATTATAGGGGCGAACAAGTAAGTGAACGCTCCGGGATCAAGCGTATGTAAATCAGACGGTTACCACGCAGATAGCCAGTCGCAGGGCACTACACCGGACGTTTTGTCTGTAAATTTATGCTAATCGAAATGTATCAGTAACTCTGGAAGCCTAAATCCACTGGTGGCAAAGGTTCAACACGTTTCGAGTCTACGTTCGTGCGAACGATAACTTGTGTATTCCCCTTTACCTATCAGAATCCGATAGCGAGGTACGCCAAGCGTTTACGTGATTGGCTAACGAAAAGTTTCGCTATACCGTCGTGGCAAGAAAGATGATCTAAAAGTTTTCCTAGCAATGTTATGATTTTCAAAAAAATGCATCCTTTATTTTATAATTTTCTATTTAAAAAAAAAGATGAGCTATCCCAAAACATTGGAACTGTTCTTGATCCAAGGGTGTTGGGGACCAGGAGTAAAGGGGTTTAATACGTGATCTAGATTCCCATGGGTCAGGTCACGCAACGGTTCTGGGCTTTGCTGAGGTACCATTAGAAGGAAAAGGACCCATGGTCATCCCCAACGTAACTGGACCTTTTGGACAATCGGATTGGAAGAGCAAGCGACTGCGAGGCCGAAGAAGAAGGTACCCTCTGGGTATACGGGGGTGAAGATTACATAGCGAGAGGGACGAAGGGTTCGGGTCGCGAATATTTTAATTTCGAAATCGTAGCCGACCTGATGAAAATGGTCAGTGGTCTAGATTCCCATGCTCGATGGCTACCTGAAGTCGTCGAGGAGGACCTCCTTTTTTTCACTCTTCGCCATTTCGGACATTTGGGTCCTGGACGATATTTACCTGGACAGTGTCCGCGACCGTGGCCACTATGCCAAGCGGCATTGTGATCTGGATGAACCTATTTAAATCAGACCGAAAAAATCCGTTACGTACAGGTGACCATTATTGAGTCCATTTTTGATGCCTCCAATGTGGCGACCGTTGGATACCACCATGGGAAAGCATCGCTGGACGGTAATATCTTTTCGAAAACCTGCACGCATTACGAGGACCTGCTACCTACACACCTGGACTGGAGTTTGGGTCTATGATTTTTTTTTTCTCAATTTTTCATGCCATCAACTAGAGCAACGGACAAATATCCCCACTACCCATACTTCAGGATCGAACTGACCAAATGGAACGAAGGCGGGCACAAACGCATATCCACGTACCCTGGAAGAACCTAGGAGATTTTTTTTTTATAATATTTTTCAACCTGAACTAAGGTACAACGGACAGTTATCCCCACTGTCCTGTTGGTTTTTGACTAAAAGAAATTTAAATGGAACAACGGTCATACAGTCTTCTCTACTGGATGATTTTTGGCACGGCCCCGTTTCGATCTTGACCAATGGCACTGGCACTCGAATTTAATAAAAACTCTGAGCTAGTTCTCTTTAACGTATCTTGCAAAAGAAAATTAGTTATAACGGACAGTTCAACCAGTAGCGTCCTACAGTGACGTACTAGTCTAGAGCGCCATTTACCAGTTCGTTAAGAATGTTCTAGAAGCATCCAGTACCTTCGAGAACCCACGGCCCAAGCATAGGACAGTTCCAACGTCTTCGTTGTACAAAATTAAATCGGTATGACTTTACTATTTGAATTTTCCGGCCAAAGCTAATAAAATATCAATATTCCAGATCGTTCGTTTTACTCCTGTCACAGATAAATTTTTAAGTTTCCATTCTAGAGCTCGTCTTCACGAAATACCCTCATTATACACTGACGTAGAAACTGGAGCAATTAATCAAGTCCCTCTGTCTTGGCGTGAATGGCCAAAGCGCAAACACCTTTGGTCCGATAGATCACAGTCTTCGTTATTATTCAAGAAGGAGTAGCACAAAAAAAGAGTAAAGGAACCAACGGCTATTTTCTAGGTATAAGATGGGCGTCCATAGCAGCAAGGACCATGGTCCGAAATATAACCTGGACCACGAGGGGGCCCTCGTTGAAATCGGGCCATTTAAATGGACCTTGGAAGGGTTATGTACCTGCCTGACCCTTGGCCTCAAAGCAATTCACCCCTCGTACCATTATATGACCTGCTCCATACGTATGGGCATAGCCGCGGCATCTCCCCTTATTTAATCAAAGGGAGGAAGAGAGGACCCTAACCCACCAGGAGAATCAGGTTTGCCAGACCAGGGAGCAACGTGTCTTGTGACGATCCTGCTTCAGGAACGTGCAGGTATATGACCTCTGGCCCGGACCCCTTCCTGCGGATGACCCGAATCTGGCCTCGGTTGGGCACTCCGGAAGCTCGTACGAGACTGTACTTCCTTCCAGACTATCTCTCTCTCTCTCTCTCTCTCTCTCTCTCTCTCTCTCTCTGTCTCCCCGCGATGTTTTTTTTTATCTGCTTTACAAGCGTCACGGCTCCGAAGAGTACGTTGTGGGGACTGACGGTCAGACCGACGGGACCAGCGGGACTTGTTTTTTTTTTCTTCTCTACCGGACGAACGCTCTTTCGAATCGGTACAAAAAATCATTCTATTCCGGTGACCAGCTGATGATGTTAGGGTTAACCTGTGGGTATCGTGTTTTTATAGTGATTTCCGGAGAATAAGAAATTCATTAAGGAAATAACGACCAGGTCGGTTCGACGAAGAACCAGCGGGATCTGGAAAATTATTTTTCAACGAAACTGATTTATAAAATACTGAATTACTGAACTTGTAATTAATTTTACATAATTAATTACCTGGAATATGGTACGTGTATGTCCTGTATTGATTTCTATGAGATAAGTGTGGGGACCAAGTTGGATGCAGAGAGGTTGCGCAAGAATTCATACCCTCGTTCCGATTGGTTGGCACGTTGGGACCAATACGAGATGAGATATCCCCTCCACAAATCTTGTCTAAAATGGTCCAGCCTTTCACCGTGGCATAGCAATACTCACAGAGATGCTGTGGAACGAAAGTCATTTCTTGCGCCTATCCTTTCTGACCTGTCTATGATAAATATGAATTTTTCTAGTATTAAATTAGTATTAATATTTTCTAGCATTAATATTTTTCCTAGTATTAAATTTATCTTAAACCAGCCTGTGACCTTCGGTCAGAAACTAATCTAACCAGAGGTAATGATGCAAGGCAAACTGTGCGCTATAGATCAATTCACCTTATGACCAGCTACCATTACGATTATCAATGGCAACTATGTACCATATTTCTTATCAAATGGCAATGATAGTGTATATTATTAGAGAAAAATATTTCTGTACTAGATATCCGCTCGAAGGTAACCATACAAATATATGGATAATCCAGCACATACGTTCACACGTGAGTAACTGTGGATTGAAAATGATCCAGTGAATTGTTTATGATAAATAAGAAAAAATTGAATACTAAATACGACATAGAAAAAAAAAGGATAAAAAATGAAACGATAGCTGATCCCTTCAATATGCAGAATTCTTAACGATATAATTATCCAGTATATAATTATTTCAAAAGTACCCAACAACAGTCCTCCGCCTATCGTTCTCTTCGCATAGACGTAAGAGACAGTCCTATCGGCATGAATAACTTAGTAGCTATAACATTCAGCTGATAAGTATTCGCAGAACGAAAGAATTTATATCGTTAGAAATTTTCAGCGTAGCGCATTTTACTACTTGTTTTCAATGAGCGCAATAGTGAAAACGCAATAGCGTTAATTATACCAGGAAAAAAAGAAAGGACGAGTATTGATAGAGCTTGCATGAAAAGTGCACGAAAATATTGTAAACCCAGGAACACGTGCATACGAAAAATATCGGGTTTGACCTCTCCGCTGTGCGTCTTATCGTTTTGCCAACGATGACATAGAAAAATGTCTCCCGGCAAACAAAGACTATCTATCAACGCAATGAGCTTGTTACTATAACTTAAGTGAGTAGGTAAGTAAGTACTCTTAGGCGAGCTCGTTAATTATTGATGGTTGCCATTTCCATTACGTGAAACGTGGATCGCCTTGGTTCCTAAGCGATAAATGCACCTCACCTCGAACCGCGACTCTATTCTTGGACGGCTTTATCACTTGGCAAATAAACACACACTATCGGCTACCTGCTATGGAGAAAATCCTAGATGAGTGTGTATGTGCTCTGGTGAAATCCGTCAGAAGTCACTATGAAATTTATTGAGCACCGTTTTGATTATCTGCAACAGGATACATATATGCATAATCAGTCTCCAGGTTTGATTTATCATGGAGAAATACAACGTAAAGCGAATAATAGTGAAAAAATAAAAAATAAAAAAATACGTTTGATGTCTAGAGAATTTTTTACCTTTATAATCCTGTACTCTCCAGGGGAATCTTAACGGACTTGATCTTTTGTATATAGATATAGAAGGGGCTGTTGCTTTTCTCAACCCCTTCGAGACTGCCCCAGTTTCGATGACAATGCCTGCTCTCCTATTGGATGATAAACCGGGTCAGAGCCAAAGGGTGGAACCAACTCTCTTCATCCCAAGGGTGGAGATTGGCTGAACATCCCTAGGGATGATGCGTCGCATCTATTCTATGTGCGAGAGAGCATCTCTGCTCGTCCTAAGGAATTGCCCGAATGTCAGATCTCGCTGAGACGTGAACCAAGTAGGAGGCAGCAGCTTAATGTTAATTAGTTGACTTATTTAATATCATAATAGATAAAATTTATCGTTCTCGTATTGAGAACAAACGTAATTAGAATTATTGACATAAGTGTCTCATCTGCTGGTGCTGCTGTTATCATTCACGATAATTTCGGCAATGGACTTGGCTTGAAGTTCATTAAAAATTTCATCATACTGAGACGGTCGGGGGCGCTGTCATCAAATATTAGGCGTACCTTTGCATTTCATTTGAAACTTGTGTCATCATCAGCACATCGAATCAGTAAGTAGACGATCATACCATTTATTTATGTTATGTTATTTAATATTCTCTATCCTACGTCGAATTTCCGCTGTGAGCAATAGAAATCCAGTTGAGATCGATATCAGGCGAGGAATCGTCTTAAACAAAGAATAAAGTAATCGAGAGGACAGGCAGGTGAGGTGATAAGAGCTAAAACTGAAAATAACAATATTGATTAGTCGTGAATTCAATATAAATCAATAAGTATGTTCGAATAAATTCGTTAATCAGTAAATACAGTATAACCGAGTATAACGTCGTTTCACAGACGTTTCAATAAGAAATTCTATTTGTTAAGACAAGTAATGCAAAGAAAGATCACAATTTTTTCATCCTTCCTCGTCGCGACACTCGCCAATGTTACTCGACGTAACACGTATACGAATGCACGTTGGATAATAAAAATGTGTAAAATATTCTTAGTGATTATTAATCAACTATACACGACGGAAACTGATACGTACTTATTCCTCTCGAATCGTGATAAATCAATGAGTCCCAGAAGTATCACCGCTATCTAACCGTACATTGGAAACTCCTTGACGATGACTCGTGAGTCACGCAGCTCTACCTCCTTTTTTCCCACCACCGCAAACCCATCATCCCATCCACCCACCCTCTCACGCACGCACACCTCGTAATATGCGTGCAGCCACGCACTCCGGAAAGCACGTGATTCATCCAGCAGGATCGAGCCAATCTGCATTAACGACGCCAGTCGTGATTCTGTGCGGTACTTGCGAAGTCTTCGTATTCCCGTTCGACCAAATTCGCTCTACCTTACCTACATTCTCAGGCTCCCGTTGCTCCTATACCCACCCAGCATACCGCACTGCCTCCTGTATCTCGTCCGCGAGGTAGAACGCCCAGCGCCGTTAGTCATGGAGATTCACACCCTGTCAACGGGAAGTACCAACCGTCGAAGATCGTCCGCAACCATACATAACCTGTAAAAGACACTCACCGATGATTCGTAGCAGCGCCTTCCTCCTATCTGTTTCGTCGTCTCCTTGGCACTACGGGGAATCAAAAGATCCTTATCCAGGTACAACGAGCGTCACACTCCATTTTAAGATAAGACTTCCACGATTTTATTCTTTAAAAAACTGCCGCTCGGTTACGTGCGTTTGTACTTTACAATCGCGAGATTCGACACAGAAACGTATATCACGTCAGAGACGTAATATGCGTCGGAGGGCTCGTACAGACACTGTAGATGCCTTAGTGGCCATGGAATTTGCTATAGTATCCGTAGACTAGTTGCCGCTTAACGTTTTCTAGATTCTCCTTCGCGATACGAATGCACGAGTCTCCTCCTTCGCAGATCGATCACTTCGCGTTACCTTGCGACTTTCACCATTGCGACAACGTCCAATTCCTTCTGGGTAACATTTGCGACATACTGTTTCTAACGTGTTTCTAGGATGATTGTCACTGAATTAGAACGTCCGAAATAAAGCGGAAACTACCGGGAAGAGCGTCGCCATTCCCGTTACGGTACGCTCATCGAATTTCCCGCCGCTGTTGCTCTCGTGTACCTCTGTGACGTCCGCCATTACGTTACTCGGCCACTCAGTATCACGACCGCAGACCACAGGAACGCGCTGCTCAACTTACAATTAGAAGAGGCACGCGTGTACCCGTTGCGCTCGTTCCTCGTTCCTCATTCCTCAGTCTTCGATTCTCTAACGTCACACTCGTCTTAATCGATACCTCGTTTAGTCGTGAACTCGATTCATTCGGACAGAAGAAATTGGTCGATGTTTTTAACTGCCAAGAGTCTAGCCATTACAGCAGGTACGCTCTCTTATTAAACAGTGCAGTTATTTAACCTTTGGATGGATTTTTATACAGACTTCGACACGGTTCAAACTATCACTCTAACGAACTTTCTGATTTAAAAAAGTAAGTATCGGATCGCATCGATCATCTATTTTGATCGTCCCCGATAACGGTCTTATTTCTTAAGCCTTTGAATTATTATTTGAACCTCAATAAGTATTCAGATTATCATTGATTCCTGTAAAATATATGAGATTCTTTATTCTGGCATCGGACCTAAGAATTCTTTTTATTTACAACCCAACGTGGTTCCGTATGTTAGCTTTCTTTCTTGGGCACGTGGCTGTTATGATCCCCGACGCTCCAGCGAGACTCGTGCCGAGATGACGATACCTGCCGTGAGATAAGAAATTCTCGGATCTGAGACGGACAGACGAGAAGGTGCAAAGACACTGTGGAAGTTTACAATATAGCAACGGCCCAGCTGTTCCGTTTGTTTTATCGCAGCCGTACAAGCTGATATAAGGCGGTAGCCTATGTACGTATGTCTTTTATGTGGCCTACGGTGTACGACTATTATGGTGGCGCTGAACCGTAGGTTATCTATGACGCGTCATCGAGTAACCCAAAAGACAGTACGGAGACTCTGCGTATATATATATACGTATGAGAAAAGGCATAGCAAAAATCTATACATAGCTTATAAACGCAAAAGTACTGTGAGTATATACACTTGATAGATAATTATGCTGGCTCCAGATTTACACCCGATCAAGTCTTATGTGTCTTTCAGTAATCTCTGTCATACTATACCGGCATCTTATCTCACCTTACATGCATTATGCCTATGTGCGTATACACATTACGTATATGTATTTTTAGACTTGATGGATTTATCGATCGTCATAAACGCCAGGGATTTACATCGAATTACTCCCTAGGAATGCAAATGGATTGAAAGTTGAATTTTGTATATTAAGAGTCTAATTAATCCTGATGCTTGGATCATACAAAAATTTTATACACAACAGAAAAGTAGCTACTTAAAGGAAAGTGCAGTGCACTTATTTCAGTTACCCTACCGCTCGAACTGGACGACTCTTGTAAACTGGATGGGACACGATAAAAGAATTTTTTTATGGGAATCTCCAGGACTAGAGAAGTTTCTTATTCGGTGGATTTATGAAGAGGCGTGTAGCAAGAGTCGTTTAATAGGTCTAGTCCTTCAACGGAGATGAGTGTAACCCCTGGGTTGTCTTTCGAAAGAGGTCAAAGTTCTGTTAGCCCTATACCAGCCTCCTACCCGTGCACGAAATTTCTTTTCTTCAAAAATTCGTTTCAATGAAAACCGAAAGAAATTTAAACTGCAAATGTTTTATACATTCAAAACTCGGGGTAAACACTTCTTGGAGCAGTATACAGCTTTTGTGTTTACCGAACCCCCATAAAACCCTAAACAGCTTCCCTTTCTCTTTAAGCCTGGCGAATATTACCCCAGATCACTACTTACGTGTATACCTATTAACGTGACTAATTTTCTTTAAACATCCCACCGAATAATAATGCTAAAATATGAACATAGACGCATCTAGCCTAACAAAGGTGTATATTGTGTATTTCAAAATTCACCCTTTATACCCAAAGCCAGTAGAAATATCCTTTCGCAAATCTGAGATCTGTCTGGGTCCCTGCTATAGGCCTATACAAGCCTAACTGGACCCTTGACAAATTCCCAAATTTGAAAATGAAATTTTTACCAGGGATCTATCTCGACCCACGCCGGATTTCTGACTTTGACCATGCTATTATTTAAAAAAGAAACCTTTCATCCCACAAAAGCAGGATTAACCCAGCGAAAGCTCGCAGAAAAGCTGTAGTACAAAGCAAACTTAAAACACTACCCTCTATACGTGCTATTTGGTGGAAACTTTGAAAAAGTGAAAATCAGCCATAATACCTAAACACCATAAAATAAATGGTACGCTATTTCACTCTCGTTTTACCCCTATTCCTATTCACTCGATCCTCCCCAGCTTCATCCTCAATTTAACAATTTTCCCAAACTACCCCAAAGCTACGTGTAATCTTTCCTGCCTCGCTATGACTTTACCCAACTATCATGAATCATTACCGAACAATGACTACTGACCTATGAACCAGTCAAACAGGCGCAGGGTACGTCCCTTGTTATTTAGTTGTAACCGCTAGTTTAAAGGGCAAAACTCGTCAACCCTTTTCTGTCGCGTGGTCACTCGTGTCCATCCCTTACGCATACCACTACTGTACATTACAGTCAGGATCCGAAGTAATCCACGGGTCATTGGACGTGACCCTGAAATTCTGCAGGTACCAATATACAGGTACACGGCATAAACGGGGACTTCCGGTAGAAAATGGCCCATTACTAATTTCAATAATTAATTAAAAATTCACACGTCCTTTATAAAAAATCCCTTAAGACAAAACAAATTTATGTGAATCTGTGTACAATTTTTTATTTTCTCATCAAAATCAAAGATTCTTAACGAGAATTCAATGAATTCTCATAACACGTGACTCATTAACAGCTTTGCCTTATCTGGTAATGATAAACGAAAATGCATACTTAGAAGGTCTATAAGCATTACCAATCCAACCAAGAATCATCCGATCGTGTTTACGTCATGAAAATATTTTTCATAAAAACTCGATATTTTCACTTAACAAAAATTATTCAACCAATTTCTATCCCAGATGATTTTTTTCCTTCATTCGATTCCTACAATTTCATCTCGTTGGACGAAAAAACAGAAATCGAACTTCACCATGAAACAACGAGCCGACGTGAAGAATTATTTCAAGCGAAAACAAATAGTTCGATCTTGATACGAAAGGCAGGATGAATATACGTACAGAGCGCGAACCGATCTGCTGTTTTTTCAATGACGTTTCGTTCAGCTGGTACGACCAAATATTCGGATACGGTGATAACTGATAAAAGTATATCAGATTCTCGAAATTTCACGAGAGCCTCAAATCGTCGTATTCGTCCACGTCTGCCTGTTTCGCTACAACGATGCGTCCTTGGGATCCGAGAAAATTTTTCAAAATCCTTCCTACGAGTATACGCCTACTTGAATGTACAAACTTTTTTTTTCACCTGTACTCTAAATCATTTTTTGATCCGATACCTTCTCAAGGTTAAACGATCTCAATGAAACATTCGCGAATCATTTTACTCCGGCACCGCAGTATACAAGACAGTCACCCGATTGATCCTAAGACACGGATCTCGTACCCGTTTATATTTGCGTGATATTCCGCAAAATGGAAACACCTATGTCGATATTGACAGTCTGATAAGATAGATGTCCAATATAACCATATAATAATTAAAAAGTAATTATCTCCCCAACCGCATCTCCGTTATCACCCCGATTTTCGAAAATATTTAACTGTGCACGAAGAGCCGTTCATCTCACTATTGATAAACCCCCAAAAAGCAAAATAATTTTTTTACGCACAAATTTAATAGAACCTCAACAAACCACGTAACTAAATATTGAACGAGCGTAAACACAGATTACTGCAATGAAAATACATCAACTTCTATTCGGTTCAGTTAAAAATAGATACCGGTTGTATGTTAACTAAAAAAATATCCACCGTATAATCGTAATAATTACATCTCTATAAATATACAACACGCAGATCATTTACCTGTACCCGCGTTGCTGCCTCTCTTACGTATTCCCACCTCCGGCTAAAAAGCCCAGAATGTCCGGCTAGTTCGCGTTACGTAAAACTGGACGCGTTTATTGCACGGCAAACTTTTGCTAATTAACACGAGAGAAACCGGCGACCAGCCAGCCGAGATAGGTCTGCCACGTCGAAGGTATACATATATATACAGTATCAAAATGTCTACCATCCATATAGACGTGTACCACCTATACCACGGTATATTGATCCTGTATGATTTTTTCCTACGAGAAAGCCAATTCAGTCAACAAAAAGTGTTTGCTAGATTTTTCGTATCGTTCGAACGACAAACATTACACGCACTGTGGTACTATGCATAGTAAGTGTATATACGTATCTTAGGTTAAATTTGTATATACAATATATATATATATACACTGTCTGTTACGAATGCGAACAGCACGCAGGGTGGCTCATCGGAGGGGAACTAGGAAAGTCTTCATGGATGGCAGAATGTACTTCAGCTTCAGTCTCGAATTCGTTAATTATATCTTGGTACACAGGCAGCGAAGGATACCGGAAAAACTTCTTCTGGTACCAGTACAATATTTTTTTTCTACTCCTCCATTATTTTCCTCCCCCTCAGCCCCCCGTCGCACAAGACGATCTTCCGTTTTCCTGTCGGAGAAAGTGAAAGGATCGCGATTCACGCGTCACGCCTACGCTTCGGTGTTGATATCTAATATCGATCGGTCTTCCTTTTTTTAGCGTCGATATATATATATATATATATATATATATATATATATATCAGTGTGCATCTTAAATAAGAATTAGCAATCTTCTCGCTTGTTAATTTGGCAATTAGAGAAATGGTCGACGCGGATATAACGGGTGGGCAATATGATTCGGATGTTGAGAAAGGTGACTTGGTCTCGAAAGAAGAAGTCGTTCCTAATCGCAACGGCGATAACACCTTCCGGGAAGAGAGCGCAACGTTAAACCATGGACCAAACACGGGTAACGATAATCGCAATGGGCGTCGTTTAAAAAGCAACTGGATGAGTCCTGAGATTAGGTCTTATCCGAGTCTTACGTTGCGGAGTCCAAACAGCACGCGACCATGCATTCCCCGGGGACGAGCAAAGGCAAGACGAAGACGGATGTTCTCAGTGCGTAGGGCTTGAACGTGGGAGTGCGAGAGAGCGAAAAGACGAAAGATATGATTTATTGAAAAGAAGAAAGAAGATCTTGGCTGCAAAGCTAATTGAACGTGAGCCCAGCAAGGTGGCTGAGGTCCCACGCTCCAGAATTTGACACTGGTCCGCGAGTCCTGGTACCGCATGTAGATGGTTATGGTACCAGCACCGAGACACTACGTCACCGCCCAACGCGTATACGTTTTATCACACATGTAAAAATCTTTCTCCGTGTCCTTGTTGAGGAATAAAAAAATACCACGAATATCCTACCTACGCGTGACGTGTGCTGCTGACAGATTAGCTCGGGCTCGTTATGAGTTTTCGTCTCCGCGAGTGTTCCGTACTCGTCACCGGGTGAGAGGACACACGCATACGGTACAGTGAAACCAGCTATACCGCCTTTTGAATTACCTGCCCGGAGTAAAGACCAAATGCCTCGGAGGACTCCCTACGGACACGGATAAGGATCGTACGGTAATCAAGTTTATCTTTGATCTGGGAATGCTTGGATTCAAAGCGGGCTGACGGTACGGATGAAAATAGGCAGATCGATGTATTCCGGGTGGACTGCCAGGGTTGATTCTTATGGAGAATCCGTACCACCCCCTTTGGAGGGCCTTCTTTTCCTTCTTACGCGTACCGTATACCTGGCACCTCGTGAAACGGGAATACAGAAGCAACGGGATCGAAGGTCCCGGGCTTGTTGCACGCGCGCTTCTAGAACCCTGCGCGCCCTTTTTATTGCTGCAGTTGACCCCTTTCTTCTTTTTCACGGTTATTGCTCACGCTTTCGGACCGAACGGAGACAACCTGGGTCGGGCAATGCCACCGTCTCGTGGAACACGTGTCGTTTGACCACTCGGTACCTCGCGGCACTTCCTGCTGTCACCTTCTTCTTCTTCACCGCCACTACTGCTGGTGTCGCTGCTACCACTGCTTTCCGTGCTCTTCCTTTCACGTCCTTTCCTTCTCCCGATTCTCTCGCGAAGAAGAAGTCTCTTCCAGGAGGAAGTTACCGCTCGCGCATAACAAGCTCTCCTTGCCTTCCAGACGTACGTTCCCGCTGGTCATTTATACTCTTCCGGTGGTCGAAAAGTTTTATATTTTATATTGTATCAATACTCCATACCGTCTATGGGAGATTGAATGCTTCTCGTGGCCTGTACACGTGGACTGTATTAGTGCGTAAGCTGTGTCTAGGATCGAAACGAGTCGCTTCGAATGTAGGGAATGTTTTCGTATTTTGTAATAGCTCGAACGAGTCCGCGCGAGAGTATTGGAACCTGCAGTAAGACGCGTGGTGCATACTGACGTCTGTATGCATACGTACAGACTCGGGTGACATGTTGATACAGCTCTCCGGAAGTGGGACCAAGAAATATTCTCGTCTGTTATCGGGGCAACCGAATGCCGAGAGTGGTAACTCTCGAGTGCTATCGGAATGCAGTGACGAAAATTGAGAATGGGCTTGAGTAGGGTTATTTTTGAAAAATTTTATAATTTTAATTTTCGATATGTATTTTTTTCTCAAGGCTATCATTTTTTATCTTTCGTTTTTTTTCATCCGGGTTATCAGGGACTTTGGTATATGACGAGGAATATTTTTGACTCTTACGCCAATGCGCCAAACGATACCTGCTCGGTAGCGAAATGCTCGTTTGCCTGAGCCAGTGTCACCTTTAACGTCGTCATCCGATGCTTGTTTTCTATTTTTACCCGTAGCCATCGCACTCTTCGGATAACGAGATGCCTCCGGTCTAGATTCCAGATGGACCGGAAACGCGGGGCGACGCGGAATTCGCACATATCAGCAAACGAAGCGATCGATTAGTGCAACGCACGCGTCAGCCGCGCTTTTGCACATGCGACCGGATTAGGCGATTCGCTATTTTCGAACGCTCGACATTTCTCCTGTCGTCCTCGATGTCGTCACGGATCGTTCCAAGAAATTAAATCCACGCGGTATATACTGGAGGTGAAAAGAAAATGGAAATCCAAAAAATATCTTCGATCCCGATAATTGATATTCGAGTCGAAAAAAAAAGAATCGACCTCCATCCGGTAACTATTATCACGAAGGATAAACAAATTTTTATAAACATTTCAACCCGACCGGAAGTCGCGAAGAGTCGATCGATCCGCCAATCATCCGATTCGAATCGATCAATGCAATCCTTGCATAGTTGCACACTCGCGCGATGCACTCGAACACGCGTTCCCGATTTCCCCTCCAGGTTTCTAATTTCCAAGCGACTCTTATACAAACGACACATATGCATCCATAGAAGCAAGCACTTTCTTTATCCGGGGGTTTGCATTTGTCTCTACGAGAATGCCGATGCGCTTATCGGACTCGTCGCCAACGGCGAGGAATTATTGCCGGGTTGCGTAACACGCGACTCGACGACAGTGACAGGGCGAGCAATAAAATTTCACGGTCGACAATTACCGATCCATTGAAAAATATCTCAAATAATCGATAGGTACGCCATTGGGTCTCTAAGATTATTAAATGAAAAATTATCGTACATCCGTCTCCCTCGGTCCCCGGTGCACGTACAATTCCCACTGGAAATATCTAAGTTCATATCTTCCTTTCGGACAGTAAATTCTTCTTTTTTCTTCACCACCAATTACTCCATTACACACCAAAGATTCGTAAAAGATCGTGAGAACCTTAAATTTCAAAAGTATCGCCTCACCGTCAACGTTCCGATCGTCTCCGACACAAACTTTACACCTGTGCGATAAGGTTCGGTCACGTTGAGTCCTTGAAGAATATATTTCTCTTATCGTACACCGTAGTGCGAATTCAATTGTTTCCCTTTGTTATTCCTTCTCCGAGCCGAATATTCGCTCCGGCGTATACATATACAGCGCCATCTACCAGTCCGGCAGTTTCCGCGAATACCTGTACGTACATCTATCTGGCATCCGGGCCTTCCGGTATCTCGTTAGGCGGACTCGGCGGCTAAACGAGCCGAAGTGGCCGACTCGGAGAATAACCACGGCGTCCCGACGCCGCCGGGAGAACGGAAATTGGCGTAGCGTGAACATCTTGCCAGAGCGAACGATGACGTTCGCTCGTTTCTCGTTTACCGGAAACGACGCTTCTCCCGAGAGAGGACTAGCTCACACGGCTACGAATTATTATATCTTTACGGTCTGCTGAATTCACGACTTGGCTTTAGCCTCGAGACTGTTATCTAGATATATCTATATATAGTATTGAATTCTCTCATTCTCATGGACCATACGTAACCATCCTACAAAGTGATACGTAAGATCAATTTAAATTCCTACGAATTTACCATATCGATTAACGTCGTTGGATTTACATAGTAACTCGTTTCGGTACGAATTACCGTATTTGATTTTAACGTAAATTTCGTACACAATACCACACTGACAAGGGTACCTTAAAACGATCTTATATTCCAATTATACAGACTTTACGTTGACTAGCCGAAAATTAGTGTAATAAGGTCATTAAATTTTACGTGGTAAAGAAAAGACAGTGGAACGAAAAACCCCATCGAAATCGATTACCCTGTACAGTGCATTGAGAGCTATACGACTCGTCCTATATAAATAATTATCCCTAATTAAGTGATTTCGCTAATTACCGTTATAAAGCAATTGGAAATATCGTAATTCTCCGAAAAAAATTTTCAAACCCCTTTAAAGATTTTACAAAATGATACGATAGATCTCAAAAATAATTTTCACGTATGATGTGTATATATTTCTTTCATGGTCTCATACGCGTCATACGTGTCCCCAAATCGTTCAGTATGTCCATCCATCCATCCAAAGCATCGATCTTACCACGCGACTCTATCCGAGCCATCGGACGCAGCATCTGTGTGAACTCTGAGAAACACCTGTGTACACGGACCACATTATCTTCTGACGCGGAAAGAACACGCCTTTGTCATCCGATCGGCGTACGTAGATACGTAAAGAGAGACGCAGATAGGCATACGCGTTGGTTGCGTTCCTAGCTGGCTACGTAATCCGCAAAAAAATATTTTATCCACCGAAAACAACCTTGTAATACTGATCTTCCCGAGAAATAAGTCACCCGACTCTACGGACTTTACACGTATTCCAGGTGACTTATCCGTACCTTCGCGTCAGTTCGGAACTGACGCTAATCTCTTTCTGGGTATCGTCGGTGAGTAAATTTTGATAAGATAGATACGAGCATCTCCCAACTGTATTATATTGCACTTGGTGAAATGATCCATCGTATAGCTTATCCGTAGAAAAAAAAAATTATAGGACAGGGCAAGTGAGTAAGTTTATCACGCTAGTTACACAAAGCGAGAAAAGCGAAGCATACGGAACAGAAAAAAAGTATAAATGACCAAGAGAGAAAGCATCATCAAGATGATCCATACAAACTCCTTAATAGCCACAGATGAGAAACAAGCGATCCCAGAGACCCAGACAAGAACCAGGTCTTTCCCTCGACTCGTTGCAGGATGCATTGTGTACCACCTGCTTCCTCTCTTCTTCGAGAGTCAAGAGATCTTTTATTATTCCCCGTACATAGCCGTATCCCATAGAACGTATATAC